CAGCATCATCGAGAACGAGGGGACCAGTGAGGGCAAAGGTGGAGGCCGCAGACCCTGGATCCACCAGTCGACCCTGGCCGCAGTGCAGCCCAGAGGCAGGCAAGATCCAGTGGGTTGGAGGCTCATAAGGAAGTTCAGATTAGCTGTAAAAAATAGAGAAAGTATCAGGTTTGGGTGCGGTTTGAGGATGGCATGCAAGCTTAACATTAATATTGTGGATTATTTCCAACTAACGAGTGCTTGTGGAACCAAGTCAGGAGAGAACCTCAGGTTTGGAGGCACAAGACGTGGTTCCAGGTGAGAAGTTCCATAACATGTTTAGGTGAAAGAAAACTTCCCTTTCCCTTGTTGCAAGATGGAAATGAAATGCCTGCATCCCTAAGGTGGGAGGAGAATTAAATTAGAAAAAATCTGAAGGACCACACCAGATGCTGACCCCCTCCCTGTGTTATAAACTGACCTGTAATTTGCTGGGCAAATAAAAGAGGGAGAGTCATTTCTGATCAATCATGGGGTCCATAAAGCATCTTTGAAGAAAAGCGTGATGACCAAGAGTGAAGTGAGGGACACGAGCCAGAATGTTCTTACCATAAAGGGCTTCAGGCATTTTCCTAATTGACCTCAGAAATCACAGGCTTAACTTGAAAATATTTTCTTCCTTGAAAATTCCCCTGTGTGTTAGGTGTGTCTCCGGAGATTTATTTCTCAGGAAGGCTGCCAAGTGTTCCAGTTCATCTTTGGAAAGGATTCAAAGCCTCAAATTTGATTATTTTTGTACCCAAACTTCATGTGCTTAAAAACTAACAGGTGTTCCTGCTAAAATGCTTCTCATTTTCACCTCTCTCAGTTCGACATGAGATTTCAAATATTCTAAAGAGCCAGAGGTGTTTCTTCCTTTTTTAAAGAAGTTGACAGCTATCTTTGAAATGTTAAAAAAGCAGGTGAAAAATCTGTGAACAGGAATTGTCTCTGGGGAGTGGGATATCAGATGGAATTTATGCTTAATACCCTGTGTTATCCAAATGAATGCATCAGAGATTGCTTCAGTAATTTTTTAGAAGCATTTAAAAAGGAGGTGGAATTCTGACATCTGAATCTGCTCTTCTCTTTAAACATATGGTCCTGGGAACACCTGAGAATCTGTGACTCGTATGTGTGAGTGTGTAAGTAACAGTCTCCTGAGATTGCCAGTTCTTCTTGCTCTTAACTGTTCAGTGCCCCCATGGCTCTGTCCTATGGTGACGAAAAAGTCATCCTGAAAACCTAATGTCTATTTCTGACTCTCTGGCTGAGTGGCTGAGGGTTCTGAGAAAAGTACCCAAGTCCTGGCTTTAGTTAGAGTGTGAATCTCAACAAATCTCTTCCCTAGCCTGGGTGGTGGTTGTTCAGTCTCTCAGTCATGTCTAACTCTCTGCGACCCCATGGATTGCAGCATGCTAGGCTTCCCTATCCTCTACTATCTCCCAAAGTGACTCAGATTCATATCCACTGAGTTGGTGATGCCATCCAACCATCTCATCCTCTGTTGCCCCCTTCTCCTTTTGCCTTCGACCTTTCCCGACATCAGGGTTGTTTCCAATGAGTCGGCTCTTCCCATCAGGGAAGAGCTCCGAAGTATTGGAGCTTCAGCTTCAGCATCAGTCCTTCCAATGATTATTCAGGGTTGACTCTCTCCTAACCTCTGCACCACTGCTAAGCAGTGAGAGTTCAGCTTGGCCAGTCCCTACTTCCTCTGACAAGTAGCTTGTTCCTTTCATCTCTGATGATGGTTTGCCAAAAGGAAAAAGGAACCATGCCAATGCAAAGAGTGCCTGTTTCAGCAGGTAACGGGTGAGTGGCAGCCAACGGTATGCTGTTGCCCAGAGAACTCGGTGGCACCCCAAGTAACCCCAGATAAAAATTAGATAAAATAGTGGTAAAGTGCTTGATGTGGGTCATGGATGTAATCTCAATCTTAGGAAGCATCTTCAGGAAATTTTGCTGAGTTTAGGAACCTATAACAAGCAATCTAAGAACAATGTGCAGGCTGATAAATGCAGGCTCAAGACCAGCCCCATCCTCTTTCAGCCTTTCCTTCCTACAATGCCTCTCCTGGGCACCAGCTCTGAAGCCACCCTTGGTAGACCCCTTGGGTCTTTCTGATCACACCCTCTGCCACTGCCCACTCAGCACAGCCAGCAGGATTCAGAACACAGCCTGGAAAGGGAATCCGGCAGGGGCTAGGCAAGTAACTAACACAGTATGACATTTGGTCCTTAAGCTCAGTGGCTCCAACTAGTTTCCTTGTGTGAACTGGTTTTAAAGGTTTTGAAAACACATCAAAGTATACAGGCTGACTGTCAGAAATCCCCTGGCCAGGCAATTTGCTCAAGAAGCTGTCTGAGAATGTGATCTAAATTGAATGTCTAATCTCTAACAAGAGAAGAGGGCCAGTCCCAGGCCGTGGGTATTGTCTGAACTAACTGCCTGAAACCAAGGCAATCCTACAGAGTTGAACCTGATACTACCATCTCTCCACATGCCCTTCAACGCTGGGAAGCAGAGCCAGCTCTTTGGTGAGAAGGGCACACTTATTAAGGCAAAGGACTGATAGACATGATATCACAAGGGCAAATGCAAATTCTGTGTGTCTGCATGACTGCCTCCAACAGAAGCTCCCAGAGACCAGGCACAGTGTCTTCCTTGTCCCTCTCCAGGTACAAAGCCGAGCCCATGATGTGTATCAGATGAGCAGGTGACTCTCAAGCCACCTGTACCATTGACCAACTTTCCCCCGTGCTCGCTGTCATAGGATGCTCTTTCTTCACGTCTTTCCTTAATTTGCATGTTCTTTTGTTTCATTACTGTCTTAAATACCCGTCAAGGTGCAGCCACCAATCCATCTCCTTTCCAGCTATACAAGCATCTCCCCTGTTTCAGCTGGCTCCTCACACATGTCCTTGTTCAGGTTTGTGGGAGAGAGAGCACTGTACCCATTTCACAGATATGAAGCAGACTCAAAGACATTTGATGGCAAGTTCAAGGACACACCTTGGCTGATCTGGTGGCTCAGCTGGTAAAGAATCCGCCTGCAAAGCGGGAGACCTGGGTTCGATCCCTGGGTTGGGAAGATCCCCTGGAGAAGGGAAAGGCTACCCACTCCAGCATTCTGGCCTAGAGAACTCCATGGACTATACAGCCCATGGTGTCCCAAAGAGTCGGACACGACTGAGCAACTGTCACTTCAAGGACACACCATGGATATATGGCAGACCAAGGACTCAAACCGAGGCTGTCTGATTCCTTGCCCTGTGCTCCCTATTTTTCACTCACTGCTGAAGACTTTTCCCCTGAGATTTTGCAAAGGATTTTATGATCCTCCCTGCCACATCCAAGGAAGAAACAGGAAAATCTGTGTTTGATAGAATGATTACTGACACTAAAAGTTAATGTTCAACCCTGGGAAATGACTCTTCCCTCCCAGGAGCTTTCTGAAGCCAGGGCTGGGAGCTCCGTCCTGGGGCTGGGCATTTATAGCTTTGCGTGTTACAGTTCATGAAATGCTCTCAACTTCTCGAAAAGCTGGTTTGGGTTTTTTCCTCTTGGGAGGGGCTGACTCTACCCTGTATGAGAATTCCAAGGCTGCTGGTGCCCTGCCCACTGGGAAACACCTCTGTCTCTGCTGCTCTATAAAGTCCCCAGGTGGCCCCAAGGGAGGACTTCTGCAGCACAGCAGCCTCCGCGGGCCGTGAGGTTCCTGTCCCGCCACCATGAGATTTCTAGTCCTCACCAGCCTGCTCTGCATCCTGCTTCTCTGCTTGTCCGTCTTCTCCGCAGAAGGTAGGACTCTCCCCTGTCCCCGCCCAGGGCGCCGGTCCCTGGGCAGGGATTCTGTGGTCTGGGGTGGTGGGAATCAGGAAATGGGGGGCAGGCAGTCCTGGGCCCTGAAAGACATCACCCCTGAACCCATATAGCACCTCTATGCACCGTAGCAGCACCAGAGGGAGACTCAGGAGGCTTACACCCCGCAATCTGTCCACAGCCCCAGCTCCCCAAACACCCCCACACTAAGTAGAAGGAAAAGGTTTTGTGTCTGTGTGGTAAGCACACTGCTTGCACTGCACCTAATTCCTACCTCGCTGGAAGTTCTGGAGCCACTCTGATATGCATTGTGCAGTCAATTTGTGTTGAATGAGTGAATACATTAATTAGTAGACCATCTGGGTCTGGACACCCCCAAATCAACACCTGTGGCAGATGGGATGAGAACGTGGTGGGGAGGCATGTTCATTTAGAACTGGGGCACACGGCCCTTGCACCTTTATGGTACGAGTGTTTAGCTCTTCTGTCTTTCTCAATTCAGATCGCTGAATATTTTGAAATTTTTCTCTTGCCTAACCCTCTAAAAACTGGGGTTTTTTTTTAACAGTTATGGTTATTTTAACATTTATCTGAATTTGGGGATATAGAAATACCAGGGTGAAAAACACCCATAATTTCATTACTCAGGAATGGCCATGTTCAACATTTTGTTTATTTCTTTTCAGTATGCTTACAAGCATCTTTGTAATGGATATCTCTCTGCATGTTCGATCTTGTGTCTGTTTTATCACTGTATTATTACAGTCACCAAAAATGTTTACGATTGAAACCTGGAAGCATTTATACCAGAATGTCAACAGCAACCATCTCTGTCTGAGCGGTAGGATTATAGAAAGTATTCACTTTCTAAAGTTTCTGCAATGAACATTGCCACATATACAACATGGAAAACAGTGATTAGAGTTCCTCATAAACACGGCCCATAGCAACATGATTTATCAGACCTCTTCTGTTGGACATGTTAGAGATTACCACTGCTACCTTAATGACAATTCAGTGAAGATCAATGTCTTTCCTCATTAAGTTTCCTATCCTAGGAGTGTCTCTACCAGATTCCCCAAAATGGTGTTATTTAACTAATTCATGCCACTACATGAATGTACTGTGATGAATTTACATGTTTAGATATTTAAATGATTCACAACTTTGAGCTATTTTAAGTACACAGTAAAAACATGGGTCTACATAAAACATTTCCTATATTGTGGCTAATTTTCCTAGATTGCCGAGGGGAAAGAATTACTATGTCAAAGGGCATAGACAATTCTTCTTAAAAAAAAACATTTACTTCTTTAGTTTGGCTGCGCCAGTCTTAGTTGCCACCTGCAAATTCTTAGCTGTAACATGAGGGATCTCGTTCTTTGACCAGGGATGGAATCTGGGCCCCCTACATTGGGAGCACAGAATCTTAGTCACTGGACGACCAAGGAAGTCCCAAGGGCATAGATACTTCTGAGTGATGGTGCTGAACTGTTTCTTGGGCAGGAAGTTGAGGAGGACATATTCTGAGGGCAGAGTATCTCCCCACATTGACTTCGTTATTTATGGAAAAGAGATAGCCTCAAGGCCCACTCTCCCTGGATCCTCCTGTAGCCTGACCCACCCTGAGTTTCCCTGAATAAATATTCCCAAGCCCTTGGCCTTGGGGGCTGAAGTTCCCTCCTGCACAGACCCTGTCCCCAGTGTCTCCAAGCGTGCTAAGGGAGGGACTCTTTTCCTATGTCCCCTCTCAGGGAGAAGACACCCGAGACATCATGCCAAGCCTGGAAAAGGCAAACCCTGCTGTCCCCGAATTCCGGGCCCTGACCTGATGACCCAGAAAGGTAAGCACCGCACAACTGCCCAGGTGTAAGCAAAGGTCCTGGGGAGGCCGTGGGACAGGCTGTGTACGCGTCCCCTGCCCACTCGCCCTCCATTCCTGGTATCAGGCCCTTTTGTAGAGAAGCCATGAGCAGATGTGATCTTGGCTTCATGAATCTTTCTAGTCTAGTGGGGGAAACTGACCTGCCCACCCCCCCAAAAAAAAAGTCAACAGATTAATCACCTTGAACTGAATACATTCCCTCAAGAGAAAGAATAAGATGCAATTAGAAAATGGGATGGAGAAGGTCCTTACCCTGGGTGGGAGGCATCAGAGAGGCCAACCTTTGTGAGACCCGAAAGAAGACCAAGGAACTAGCAGGAGGAGTGTGGAAGGGACAGTGCAGGAGGGGAAATGGCAGGCATGAATACAGAGCAGATGGGGAGTCGTGAGGTGCTCAGAGAAGCTATGAACCAAGGCAGGGCTGGCCTGATGAGTGAGTTGGCCCACGAGGTGGGGTGACCAGAGGGGATGGGGCACACAGGTCCAAGGAGTCCCGAGCTGCAGGCAGGCAGCACCCATCCCAGGCGTCAGGCTAGGGGTCCAGAGCTGGGCTCCCTGCCAGGGTGGGGCCTCAAAGAGCAAGGCTGCCCTCTCCTACAAGGCCTGGGGGGGCAGGGGTATTGAGGGGTGAGAGAGACAGGCCAACAGAGGCTACAGGCACCCAGCTCCCAGTACTGGGGCACCAGGCCAGGGCAGGCTGATGCATGGGAGTTGCATGCCTGCCCCAGGATGCAAGGTTGGGACGGCTGAACCTTGGCTGGCCTTTGGTAGAAGGTTCTAGGGCCTGGGGCAGTCAGAGTCCCCCGGGGAGAAGCCAGCCAGGCCTGACACAAACCCAGGGTTTCTGTACCCCATGCCCCACTTAGTCTCTGCAGCCTAAGGCCCCATCTCAGGGGTCTAAGAAGGCCCAGCTCTGCTGACTCCTCTGGGTCCATGGCTCAGGGGGCCTGTGACCAGAGCTGGAGCCTCCACACCGCTCCTGGATGTCAAGAGTTCTGTGTGCCAAGGGGAGGCCTGGGTGTGAAGCAGAGGGAGGGGGGCAGGCTGCGCGGCTCAGCCTCGGGCCACTTCTCTGGAGAAGCTGACAGCCCCCGTTTCCAGAGTGGCATCACATCCCACTGGGGCTGGGTAAAAATAACCGGTTCTCACACCCTGAACCCAAGTGTAAGGCCTCCACCCAGGCTGGCTGGCTGGCTGGCTGCAGCCCGGCTCTCCCTGGAGGCCCCAGCCTGGCAGAGGAGAGCTGTTTCCCTGAGTCCCTCCCAACGAGGAGGCCAAGCTGGGCTCAGACCCTGCAACGCCCTCCCCAGGATGGACTTGCTCAGGAGCGCTTGTCAATGAAAATAATCAATAAACAATCAAGAGTAAGAATAGAAAAGAGTTGTACTTGGGCCAAACTGAACACTAGCCAGAAGCCTGCTTCCCAGTTGACTCATGAGAAACTGCCCAAGAGGAGCAGAGTTTTCACCAGTTTCATATCTTGTCAGAATAAGACCATTAAACAAGTCAGGGTCACATTTCTTCAAGGATATTTTTAGGAGGAAAAAAAGCAGACCAACCTGTACACAGCAAGTCAATATGGCCTTGGTACCTGGGAAGTGAGTCTTATCATCAGAGGATTAGCATTGGTGTCCTAGGAAGGGGAGCATTTAATCTACACTTTAAACTTGGACATTCTTTACTTCTGGTCAGAGTGCCCTTTTTTTTAAAAATATTCAAAGCAGATGTACAATGTATGTTTGATAGGCACACAAAGACTATTTTATTTAGCATAAAATTCAAGTTAGCACATGTATAAGCCAGAATGACTTCCCACAACACTGAAAGCCCAAAATCCTAACCACTAAGCCACCAGGGAATTCCCTGTGAAAATTTTTTTTATTACAACAAAGAAAAGAGAAGTTGAAAATGCATGTGCACGCACGCACACACAACTCATAGGAAACACAGCAGGGTTAACTCCTTGTGTGCAATACAAGAGCAGCTCTTTTTTTTTTTTTAAGCCACACGATACTTCAGAATAATCTAAGTGTGTGGCTCCCATGCTGAGTCTGGATTTCTATCAGTGTACATAGCTTTTAAATTCCATTGCAGGGATCTGCAAGCAACTTAGAACAAGAAGGGCAAAGCAAGCATTTTTACTAGGTCCCTATCATGCAGTCTCATTTAAATCCTTGGAACCACCCCAGGGCAGCACGGTCCATTTTACAGATTTGAAACTGAGGCTCAGAAAGATTATGAGGCAGAGCCAGAAACTTGGGTCTGTCCATCTCTTTCCATTGGAACAACTGCCTCCTGCAGAGAAAGGAGTTTCCTCATCACATTTACGGAGACACACAGGTGCCCAAGGGAGATTGCAGACTTCCTGGAAGGGAAGCTCTGTATGGGTTGGAATCTCAGCTCTACCACTGACTAGATATGCATCCTTGAGCAGGTCCTTCAGCTCTGCTAAGCCTCAGTCTTCTCCCCTGTGAATGGGTTTAACAATAGACTCTGATCATAGTCTATTACCCCATAGTCAGTGAGGTGGTGACTATAAAGCCAGGCACTGGCCTGGCACCAGCTCTCTGGTCAACTTGCTCTGCCGTGACTGCAGAGGAAGTCTGAGCATGCCCAGGTGTAGTGGTTCCACCCCCCTTACACTGTCTCCTGGGGCTGACCCTGCAGCTCACACTGTGGAATAAATAGCAGGGGTGCCGGGTGTGCCAGGCTCTGGGAATTTGGCCTCTGTACCCTGGTTCACTGACACAGGAGTGCCTGTGCACTGTCTGCTGAAAGAGAAAGTGGCCTCGGGCTGCCTGGAGGATGCCCCTGAGCTGACATCACCAGCTGTGACACACACAGGCCAATATCGCCTACTGTCCAATCTAGGACGTCTTTCCAGAGCACGGCCTTGCCTAAGTGTTATGCTAGGCCCGTGGCAGTGACATGAAGTGGCAAGCATGGGACTCTGGATTAATTCTACCAAACCATCATCAGAGATCAGCGTGTTGAGTGGCCAGTTTGCTGAACTTACACAATTGGTAAATTGTTTACCAATTTACTAAAACAAAGGGCTTTCTCTAAAGCATTTGAAAAGTTGGTAACCATCTATATGGCAGCATTGTTTTAAAGGAATGTTCCATTTGTTGGTTCTGTTGGGACTTGAGGGGTCTCAGGTTTAGGCTGTGGTCAGACAGACAGCTGTCTAGGCCTCACCAGCTGGGAAAGTCTGTGACACTGAGCCTCTGTCAGGCTGCCCTCCTTCCATGGGTCCTGAGGCTGTCAGTGACGGGACTCCTGGGGTGGGCTGGAGAGGCCTTGTGTGGGAGGGTCCTTGGGGTCTGAGAGAGTGCCTGTCCATCTTGCAGCTCTCCTAGGGCCTGAGAGCTCCATGCCACCTTCTCTGCTTTGAAGCCCCACAAAATGACTTGAACTATAGTGGGAGACAGGGGCTGAAAGGGACACAGAGATATTCCTCCCCACCATGGGGTTGCTCCTGTCTTCAGAAAGGAGCCTAGACTACAGAGACAAAGGGTATCCACTGAGGACCTTGAGTGTGATGACGTGAGGGTTTTGGCAACTTTGGAAGGTAGCAAGGTGGACACCAGTGTTCAGTGCCACAGATGCAGGAGGTGGAGAGGGTACCCATTCTGCCCAGTGGACCCATCAGAGGGGCTCAGATTAGTGGTTTCGTTCCTTGTAATTATACCTGTCAGCCACGGCTGCATAATAAAACACCTCCAGCTCAGCGGCCCAAAACAATACGTAGTTATCGTTTGCTATGAGTCTACTGGTCAGCTGAACCATTCTTCCAGTCTTGGATGGGCTCATTCATTTTCCCAAGGGTTTGGATAGGTACTTCTGCTGAGCCTACACAGGCTCTCTCACATGTCTGGGGCGTCAGTGGGATGAAGCCAGGATGATCTCAGCTGAGCAACTGAACTCTCTTCCACATGGTGTGCAAGAGCCATCCTCTGACGGGCTAACTCAGGCTTGTTCACCTGGGGACTGCAGGGCTCCACCGACAGAGCAGAAGTCCCTAAGGCCTCTTCAGGCCTCAGAACTGGTCCACCTTCATTTCCACTTCATTCTCTGGGCCAAAGCAAGTCACCAGATTAGATTCGAGGAGCAGCGAAATAGACCCCTTGTTGTGATGGGAGAAGATGCAAAGTCACATTGCAAAGGAAGGGCGGAGAACTCTATCCTTATCTGCACTCAGTTAACCACATTATTTATTGTAGGAACCAGAGAAGAGAGTCTTGGGGCCTGAGGGTGGGGACAGGGGCTAGAGGGGAAGCAGTGGTCAGGAAATCATGGTTCTCCATCAGAAATGCTAGTAGAAAACTCTCACAATATGATATTAATAGAAAGGAGTAGTTAACACTGTATATTACTATGATTATCACTATGGGAAGGCAAAAGCACTTTCAGATAGGAAGAAAAAGAAAATTACACCAATACTAGCACTTATTTATGATTAAGACATGAAGCTATGGAAGAATTATGATAATTAAATTTATTTTTTGTATAGCTAGTAATTATATAGCAACTACCATGCAGCACTTACATCTGCTAACTCATTTAACCCTCACAATAATCCATAGAGTTAGATACTATTGCTATTCTTATTATTACAGACAAGGCACCAAAGCACAGAGAAGTTTAGTCAGCTGTTGAAGGTCACCCAGCTAGTAAATAAGGGGTAGAGCTGGGCTGTGAATCCAAGTAATCTGGCTCCAGATTCCATGTTGAATATACTAATAATCCAGAAACTAAAACAGAAAAAAGAACCTTATTACCATAATTTAATAACCATCCTCATTCATATTTCCTTTTTTCATGCAAACATGTTTACCTAGCTTTATTTTTATTATACCTTGTTTTTTTATTTTTAAAATTAACATTGCTTTGTATGCATTTTTCTTCAAGGTGCTGTATAGTCTTCATAGCCACAGGGCTTTATCACTGTTAAATATTTTTTTCATCACAACATACCATTTAGTAATTAACCATTTCTCTACCACAGGATATTCAGACTGTTTCCAGAATTTTTTTCTGCTGCTAAAAACAAAACTATGAAGACTAGCTTAATGCATGCAGGTTTTTCTTTCCCTATGGATTATGCCTCCCACAGATGGGACTGGTTCATCAAAAGATGCAAACCAAGCTTTGAAACACATATTACCTGAGACAGAGAGGAGACAGCTGAGGGTTCAAGGGTCTGCAAGTAGGTGTGGGTGAACCCTCTCACCACCACCATCAAAAACAGAGCTTCCAGACCCCTCAATTTTAGTGGACCCGGCTCTTGACAGAGACGGTTGAACAGACAAACTACCTTCCCTCCATCTTCTGGTAATCAATCAGATTTCTCCCCAATGGGATAGAAATAACCTGGGCTGGTCATGTTTGCAATGAAAGGCCGCCTCTGGGCATCCTAGAAGGAGGGTAAGATCTGACACTTGCTTTGATTTTTTTAAAACATATCTTCATATCTAAAAATTAATCTTAATTGTATTTCTCCCGTTCCCCCATTTTGACTCTGTCTGCCTCTCTGCCTCTTGTCTGATCTTGTCTGTTCTTGTCTGCCCACTGCTCCTTCCTAGGACACCATATGAGAAACTGCAGACCATGCAAACTCAAGCCAAAGCCCCGCTTTTGGGTGGTGCCTGGGGCACTCCCACAGGTGTAGTGCTCCCCCAAGCAGGCTCCATACCACTGAAACCCTCATGCTCAATTCTTGAGGCACCCAGAAGCCTTAGGTTCCCCCAGGGTGCTCCCCTCAAAGTCGGAACTGATGGCAAAACCTCTGCCCATGAACCTGAGCTTCCTTTCTTAAAGACACAACATTTCTTGCCTATTGTGTTGGACTGTGCTCACAATTTTTTTAGAAAAGCCTGAACCAGAATCTTCTGAAAACCACAACACGGATTCCGAAGTCCAAGCTCTGGAATGCCTGTTTCCTGCTGTATGGTCTTGAGCAAGTAACTTAGTCCCTCTGGGCTCAGGCTGGCTTCAGAGATACAAACTCCAGTGAAAGGAGACATCCAAGGAAGGCACCAACGGGCTTCACTTACCCCTTTCAAGCCTCATGGCAGGGTGCTGGAGGGCTTCATCTCAGGTAGAAAAGGCCCCGGCATAGTTCCAGAACTCCAGATCCTGGTATCAATCATGCTACCAACCTTCAGAGTCATTGCGAGCCAGGTTCAGCCCACCCAGCCTCAGTCTCCATCTGGCCCCTTGCGCACGGATAGTCAAGACTCCATCGTGACCTGAAGAGCTACAAATCCAAAGACTTCTGAGCCTGCTAGGGTGAAGGGTAACAGGGACCCAAGAATGGCCAACCAGCAATGCAGAGGCTCAGCTGACCCGAGACACACCTAAGCTCCTAGCTGTCTAACATCCCACGGCCCCTGCAGGAACCCCTGCCTGATTTTCTGATGTTTGTCTGCTTTAAAGAGCATGCAGTGAAACAAATTGTAAATAAATAAACAAAACACATAGCACATGGTTGTTTGAGAAAACGGGAGGTAGGACCTTCGGTAGGACCTTGGGCTTCCCTGGTAGCTCAGATGATAAAGAATCCGCCTGCAATGTGGGAGACTTGGGTTCGACCCCTGGTTTGGGAAGATCCCCTGGAGGAGGGCATGGCAACTCACTCCAGTCTTCTTGCCTGGAGAATTCCATGGACAGAGGAGCCTGGCGGGCTACTGTCCACGGGGTCACAAAGAGTCGGACCTCCTACCAGCACAGAAGGTGGGACCTGAAACACAGCTGTCTGCTACAGGAAACCCACTCCCTGAGGCTCTCCTGCAGGCAACACCTTCATCACAGCACAATCTAACCATCAAAGGGGGCACGGGGCTGGGGAGTGAGGAACAGTGACGGGAGCAAGGGTCTCGGTCTGACACACCAGCATTCCCCAGGATTTTCATGTGATCTGGTCAAGTCAGTTCCCGTTTCTGTAAAATGGAGAGTCCAAGACCTATTCAGAGAAGCTAACATGAGGCCCCGACAAGTAGACAGATGTAAAGTGCCCACAAGGGGCCTGGCACAAACAGAGGCGCTTGGTTCCGGAAAGCCCCTGCCTTCCCTGCCCCCATCCTGGAGGGAATGTTTATGTCCAAGTGAACACACAACTGGGGAGAGGAGGCTCAGAGGGAACAGATGGCCCATGTCTAAGAGGCTTATCCCTCAATAAATTTCCTTCTAATCTGCTTCTCCCGGCAAGGTGAGAAGCCCCTCCCTACGCCATCCCACAGCTGTCTGAGAAGGCCAGACCCACCAGGTGTGAGGCTGATGAGCAGAGGTTCCCTGGCATCCAGCCATGGGGACAGTGGTCCCAGGGAAAGCCCAAGGTCCTCACCTTGTCCTAGGCCAGACCTTTCTGTTCCTCCCAGAAACTTCATTTGCGAGCTCATCCACTCATTCACTCAGTCACCCATTCCTGGGGTGGGTAATGGTCAGAATGTGCTGGTTCCAAGGCTCAGCGATGAGCAGATACAGTACCTGCGGGCTGAGAAGTTATCACTGCTCCACACAGTTGTGAGGTAAGAACAGAGGACTGGGAGCAGGAGTGGACATGCAAAGAGGAAGAGCTGATGCTCGCGCTGAGTTCTGGGAGCATTCTAGCTGCAGAAGAAATGGGTGTGTGTGTGTGTGTGTGTGTGTGTGTGTGTGTGAGNAGCTGATGCTCGCGCTGAGTTCTGGGAGCATTCTAGCTGCAGAAGAAATGGGTGTGTGTGTGTGTGTGTGTGTGTGTGTGTGTGTGTGAGCAGGGGTAAGAGTTGAGTGTTTGAGAGGAGTGTGTGTGTGTGTGTGTGTGTGTGTGTGTGTGTGAGCAGGGGTAAGACTTGAGTGTTTGAGGGGAATCCAGCAACTGGACCGCAGAATGGGGAACACTGGGGAGGCTTCAGTCTGGGACCATAAGAGCACCCAAAAGTTATCAGGTATTTAGAGCTTATCCTGAGGACAGTGGGGTGGGAGAAAACGCAGGCAGGAAGAACCATTAGCAGATGGAACGAGGTAGAGCTAAGGCAGGTGGCGGAGGGAGATACAGAGCTGAGGGATTTGAGGTATTGAGTGGACAGGGAGAGTCTTATGAATAACGCTATTCAAGGCTCCTCGGGGGACTTCCCTGGTGGCCCAGTGGTTAAGATTCCGTGCTTCTAAGGCAGAGGGTGTGTGTTCAATCCCTTAGTTCCCAGAGGGAACTAAGATCCCACATGCCACAGGCATGGCCAAAAAAGTGGGGGGAAAAATGGCTGTTGGGGACCTAAGAGGATACAAAGAAAACCAGACATCTGGAAGTGACTTTGCATTACAGAACTGGAATTCTTCCATCTCCTGAATGATCCCCTTGAAGAATCTTAACATATTGGCAGGTGACAGTAGTGTCACTAGAGAAAGACTGCAGTCTCCATGGCAACTGAAGGGGCTGCCCTGACTGGGTAGGGCCCCACTGCAACTGACAAGGCACAGGTTTCTCAAACAGACTTGGGTTCAAATGATGACTCTGTCGTGTGTCCTCTGTCATGTGACATCAGGAAGTTCAAACGACCTCTCAGAGAGTCTCAGGTTTCCCATCTGGAAATGAGGCTAAGACTGCCTATCACAGAGGCCCACAAGGGAGAGGAAATCAGGAAGTAAAGAATGTCTGGCTCTGAAATAGTAACCTCATTTGCTTCCACTAAATTGAACGCATCCAGGACTCTCCACCTCTCCACCTCCGCTCAAGACTAGGTCCTCTGGGAGCAATTCCATCCCCAGCTATGGCAGAACTTCCTGTTGGAAACCACACACACTTTACAGCCCTGTGTGCCCACTCACTCTGCTGATTCACCTGAGCTTATCTCTGGGCAGACTGTCCAGCCTGAACCACTTTCTGGAGTCCCGGCTGGTTAATGTTCACGCCGGACCCCACATGTGACTCCCCTGACTGTGCAGCCGCTTGCCCAGTCATGCAAGCATCATAAAACTTCTAGAATCTGGGTGTGTCTAGGTATATAGTCTAGTCTCCCAAGTGGTGGCTGGACCTTGCCTGTTTACAAGCATTCTAGTAACGTGTGGCGAGCTCCAGAGGCAGGCTTGTTATCAACAATGCCATCTCCACATGAGATCCTTGGCTTATCTGCTGTTTAATCTGTCCAATTGCCCTACCCCTCAAGATTTGCAAAGTATGAGCCAGAGAATGGAAGTTATCAAATTACAAGCTGTCAGAACTGAAAAGTTCCTTACGCACATTAAAATGTAACTCTTCCACTTGTTCAACTCAGGGCTTAAATGTGCTCTGGATATGGGCACTTATATGTGTGCATCAGGCCCCTACAGCCTTTCCCTCAACTATTTCACACTTTTCCATGTCCCGCCTGGCTCAGCAGGCATTTCATTGTATCCCCTTTGGCTACTCCACTCTACCAGTTTATGGATGGATGGAGGAGGCAAAGCATTTCAAAGGCCTGCAGAGTGTCAGCTGTTGACTAGGACCAGGATCCAAGACTCAAAATACCCTCAAGTGTCTGTTCATTGATTCATGTACTCAGTCATCATTCACCCAGTCAACAACTGCTCACTGAGGACCTACTGAGGGACAGGTCCGGTGTGGATACTAAAGCAACCTATGCATGAAACATGGTCGCTCCCCTAAATGATTCATGGCACCCTGGGGGAGACATCTAAGCAAACAGATTACACACTGGATTCTTTTAAGGGCCTTGTCAAGGTCCTAAGGAGGGACCAGTTCTATCTGGGGGCAGAAGCATGCTAGAGGGGAAAAAAAAAAGCTTCCTGGAGGAGAAGACATTCTTGGGAGTGTCCTAACCCAGGCTCAGTCATGTGGCAGGATGCAAGAACAACGGAGACTGCTATAAGGTGAAAATAGGTGACGTCAGGGCTGGAGCTTCTGCCCACCTGTGTGGATGCCACAGTGATCAAGAGCCAGCATTACAACACAGGATCCCAGCCAGTGGGTACTAGTTCCAGCTAGATGGGGACCAGGGAAATAGAGGGCAGCTCCAGATTCCCACCCCCTAGAGAAGGAAATGGCAACCCACTCCAGTACTCTTGCCTGGAGAATCCCATGGATGGAGGAGCCTGGTGCAGGCTACAGTCCATGGGGTCGCAAAGAGCTGGACACGACTGAGCGGCTTCATTTTCACTTTCACTTTCTTTCCAGATTCCTGCAGAATCTCTCAGTTAGGGGAACAAGTCAGGCTTTAGACAGGTAAGAGGAGGAATGCCGTCTCCATGTCAGAGGAAACTGAGGCAGCCACCCTATACCTGGCCTGCACACAGCAAGGGGACAGAGGGTGGCCACATTCCACAGCAAATGATATCCAGAACTCCCCAGCCCTGCAGAACCCACTGCTGTGGGAAGCAACTCCCCAGTTCAGCCAGGTGAGTACACCTGGTCCAGACCTGTGGAGGACTGTCCTCAGGACCTCACCTGAGCTGAGATAGGCGGAGCCTCACAGTCATGTTCAAAGAGGGTTCATCCCCTGATTCTACATCTTCATCCTCAGGACCAAATCCTACTTTGGACTATAGCTTCCCGGTCATGAGCGGTCACTTTGTTGGAACTCAGCAACTGGAAAGAAGAGCTCAGGATGCTGAGTACCAAGGGCAGACGTCTGTCTCTAGATGGTCTCATCCCAGACAGCTGGGGTAGTAGCAGGGTGCTGGAGACCTACCCTGCCCCCTTCTAGAGCAGGGTCATTAGGAAGATGAGCCTGGAAGCAGGCATCTGCTTCTCACCACAGCCTCAACACCAGAAGCTGGGAGAACTTTTTACCTAACATCTCCTGGTGCATGTGTGCACATATAACTTGGGCATGCATGTTTACATGAAGAGACATGAGCAATACACTGGTATATGGGTGTGCACATGTGGGTATGCACATATGTGTGCGCAAAAGGGACTAGAACTCACATGTGTTTGGGGGCAGCTGTGTGAATGTGTGTGAGTACTGGGGAAGGCACTCAGATCAGATGTGAGCAAAGAGGTCAAAAGAGCCTAACCTGGCATATTGGCAGATGGGGCTAGAACACATATGCATGCCCAGGCTGGCAGCTGGCACTCAAATTCCCACTAACTAAGAGTTGAACCAGCTATTGTACATCTACCTGAGGAAGAGCTCTTGGAACCTGCCCTAGAGATGACTGATGAGGTATTTCACAGCAGGTGCCGTGGTGGTGGGGGGGGAGACCCAGAGGAGAGGGAGCATGCCACCCTGCAAGGGGTGATGGGCATGTAAAGAACAAGGCAATGGGTGTGCTGAGACTGCCCAGGGTATTTGGGTGAGGGCCACGCCACCTGTCTCAGGGCAGGTGGGACCTTCCTTCCCAGCTATGAGAAACTGAGCTCTCCAGGCCGTTTCCAGACCCTCGGAACCACCAGGTCAAGATCAGAGTCCAGGGTGAGAATCTCCATCAACAGCTGCTGTTTTCCTTGGTTCTCAGGCGCTTTGTTTGAGGACAGGGGCCAGCCCAGAGTGACCAACTCCTT